GAGATGATTCAAATTTTTAAACCTGAGATAACAAGACAAGAATGCCCACTCATCACTTTTATTCAACATAGTTTTGAAAGTGCTAGTCATGGCAATCAGAGACAAACAAATAAAAATAAAAGGAATCCGAATTGGAGAAGTAAAATGGTCACTATTTGCAGATGACATGACACTAGACATAGAAATACTGAAGATGTCACCAGAAAATTGCTAGAGCTCATCAATGAATTTGGTAATGTTGCAGAATACAAAATTAATACACAGAAATCTCTTGTAGCCCTATGCACTAACAATGAAAGATCAGAAAAAGGAATTAAGGAAATCCCATTTACCATGACACCAGAAAGACTAAAATATCAAGGGATAAACCTACCTAAGGAGGCAAAAGACAAGCTTTTGCACAACAAAGGAAACTATAAGCAAGGTGAAAAGACAGCCCTCAGATTGGGAGAAAATAATAGCAAACGAAGCAACAGACAAAGGATTAATCTCAAAAATATACAAGCAACTCCTCCAGCTCAACTCCAGAAAAATAAATGACCCAATCAAAAAATGGGCCAAAGAACTGAACAGACATTTCTCCAAGGAAGACATACAGATGGCTAACAAACACATGAAAAGATGCTCAACATCACTCATTATCAGAGAAATGCAAATCAAAACCACAATGAGGTACCATTACACACCAGTCAGGATGGCTGCTATCCAAAAGTCTACAAGCAATAAATGCTGGAGAGGGTGTGGAGAAAAGGGAACCCTCTTACACTGTTGGTGGGAATGCAAATTAGTACAGCCACTATGGAAAACAGTGTGGAGATTTCTTAAAAAGCTGGAAATAGAACTGCCATATGACCCAGCAATCCCACTTCTGGGCATACACACCGAGGAAACCAGATCTGAAAGAGACACGTGTACCCCAATGTTCATCGCAGCACTGTTTATAATAGCCAGGACATGGAAGCAACCTAGATGCCCATCAGCGGACAAATGGATGAGGAAGCTGTGGTACATATACACCATGGAATATTACTCAGCCATTAAAAAGAATTCATTTGAATCAGTTCTAAAGAGATGGATGAAACTGGAGCCCATTATACAGAGCGAAGTAAGCCAGAAAGATAAAGACCATTACAGTATACTAACACATATATATGGAATTTAGAAAGATGGTAACGATAACCCTATGTGCAAAACAGAAAAAGAGACTCCTATGTATAGAACAGACTTGTGGACTCTGGGAGAAGGCGAGGGTGGGATGTTTCAAGAGAACAGCATTGAAACACGTATATTATCTAGGGTGAAACAGTTCACCAGCCCAGGTTGGGTGCATGAGACAAGTGCTCGGGCCTGGTGCACTGGGAAGACCCAGAGGGATTGGGTGGAGAGGGAGGTGGGAGGGGGGACTGGGATGGGGAATACATGTAAAAAAAAAAAAAAAAAAGATACACTATGGTTGTGATAAAAAATAAATTAAAAAAAAAAAGAAAGAAAACTATAAAATGAAAGAAATCAAAGATGACAGAGAGATATCATGCTCTTCGACTAAAAGAATCAATATTGTCAAAATGACAATACCACCCAAAGTAATACACAGATGCAATGCAATCCCTATCAAATTAATGATAGCATTTTCCACAGAATTAGACCAAAACTTTTACAATATGTATGAAAGTACAAAAGACCCCAAATAGCCAAAGCAAACTTAAGAAAGAAAAATGGAGCTGGAGGAATCAGGCTCCCTGATTTCAGACTGTACTATAAAGGTGCCTCAAAACAGTATGGTACTGGCACAAAAAACAGAACTATAGCTCAATGGAATCGGATAGAAAGTCCAGTGATAAACCCACGCACCTATGGTCCCCTAATCTATGATGAAGGAGACAAGAACATGCAATGGAGAAAAGAGAGTTTCTTCAATAAGTGATGCTAGGAAAACTGGACAGTTCCATGTAGAAGAATGAAATCAGAACACTCACACTATACACACATACATACCTCAAAATGGATTAAAGACCTAAATGCAAGACTGGAAACCATAAGACTCCTAGAAGAAAACATAGGCAGAACACTGACATAAGTCACAGCAAGATCTTTTTTGATCCACCTCTTAGAGTAATGAAAACTAAAATAAATAAATAAATAATAAACAAGTAGAACTTAATTAAACTCAAATACTTTTTGCACAGCAAAGGAAACCATAAACAAAAAAAGACAACCCACAAAATGGGAGAAAATAATTGCAAATGAAGAGACCAACAAGGGATTAATCTCCAAAACTACAAATAGCTTATGCAGTTCAATATAAAAAAACAAACACCCAATCAAAAAACAGGAAGATCTAGATAGACATTTCTCTAATGAAGACATACAGGTGGCCAAAAAGCACATGAAAAGATGCTCAACATCACTAATTATTAGGGAAATATGAATCAAAACTACAATGAGGAATCATCTCATACCAGTCAGAATGGCCAACATCAAAAAAATCTAAAAACAATAAATGCTGGAGAGGGTGCAGAAAAAAGGGAAACCTCCTACACTGTTGATGAGAATGTACGTTGGTGTGGTTGCTATGGAGAACAGTAAGGAGGTGCCTTAAAAAACTAAAAATAGAGCTACCACATAATCCAGCAACCCCACTCCTGGGCATATATCTGAAGAAAACCGTAATTCAGAGAGATACGTGTACCTCAGTGACAACTGCAGCACTGCTTACAATAGCCAGGACATGGGAGGCAACCTAAATGTCCATCTACAGAGGAATGGATAAAGAAGATGTGGTACGACAGAACATTACTCAGCCATTAAAAAAAAAAGGACATTTGCAGCAACATGAATGGATCTAGAGATTGTCATACTGAGTGAAGTCAGCCAAGCAAAGACAAATATCATGATATTGCTTATATGCGGAATCTTTAAAAAGTGGTACAAATGAATGTATTTACAAAATGGGAATAGCGTCACCAACATAGAAAACAAACTTATGGTTCCCAAGGGAGAAAAGAGGAGATTGGGTTTGACAAGACACACTACTACACATAAAGTAGATAATAAGAATCTACTGTATTTATCACAGGGAACTCTACTTAATACTCTATAATGCCCTATATGGGAAAAGGATCTAAAAAGAGTGGATATATGTATAACTGATTAACTCTGCTGTACAAAAGAAACAATACTGTAAATCAACTATACACCAGTAAAAAGTAAATTTAAAAAAATAAATAAAACCAGTGTAAATGGACCATCTATGGCAACATTAATGGGGCAGATACTGGGAGAGGGGGATCATGCCGACTCTTTAAAGCTGAGGTTGATGAAATAAAGAGATGAACCAACAAGCACTCTGAGAACTGAAATGAGACTAAAAGAAGAGAAAGGCTAATGGATGTGAGAGTCAAACCAGAGCCCCCTGACTGAAATCCGAGTGGAAGGGTAGGTACAGGAGCAGGAGGAAGGAAAGGAGAGGCCCACAGACAGACTCTGCGTCTGATGGGAAATAAGCTATTTTCAGGGACAGAAGAGAAACAGAGAAGGAATATCCCCTACGACAGAATTAGGACAGAGACTTCTCTCTGCCTATCCTCTGCACCTCTTAAATGAACATTCCTGCCTTCCTAACTGGAATGGATACTGTGCAAAGATGGAGATTGTATCAGATAATTCAATCCCAACAGCCACAAGAGAACAAATTAAGCCCCAGTCCTACCTGAATAACTCAGTATCTTGAGAGAAGATGAGAGGGTATGTAAAGGGCCCCGGGAGAGGGTGTCATAAAGGTTTTCCCTCACTAGTGTGGAAAATTAGCCCCAGATTACAACACTGCTCTGGATCTGCCTAACAAAGCTTAAAAACAAGACACATGCTTCTACTTGATCCAGCTCAGCGGTTCCCAATCCTGGCAAATGGGAGAATCGCCAACAGACTGCTGGTGATTTAACAGCCTGGGCAACCAGTATTGTTTTAAAAGCTCCCCAGGTGACTCTTGTGAGCAGCCGAGACTGAGAACCACCCACTGATGCCCGAGATGTGTAAGGCTGCTAACCCAGTTTCTAGAATCCCTTTTAAATCTCCCCACTCCTGATGCCATTTTTAATATTCAAGTAACATAGCTGGCAAACACCTATTGCAGCTTCCAACATGATAACACATTTCCAGCACAATCCATTAACAGAAGTCTCACACACACTTTCTCACTGAAACCTTAGAGAATCCTGGAGAAGATGGGTTACCTGCCCAAGACCCCACAGTTAGCAACCATCCAGGAGGGCTGACCCCAGGGCCGCCCCTCTTTGCTGTTGTCCCTCTGCTGTTCTCAAGCCCGGCAATTTCTAAGATGTCCTTGGGAAGCCGGTGAAAGAAGCCACCTTAGGCATTGTGAGATATAGGAAAGAAATCAACAACTCTGCCTAAAACCCACAATCTCTCCAAGACCACGAGCTTCACCCAAGTATGGTTCTTAAAGGCAATGGCCAGGAGAGAACAGTGAAAAAATAGCTTCTTTTCCTTATTCTTGTTCAACTCTACACCACTGTGGACACGAGTTTTAGAAATACCTTACACTTCTAAGTAGCGACAATGTCTCTGAGTGAGAAACTCCGGTTACATGAAAGGATTCCTCTTCCCCATCATAGACTCTTCCAAAAGGAAACCAAGAAAAGATGCAAGACTTGACCTGACCTGGCCAGGGGTTTTCTGACCTCGCCCAACATGCCCTGGGCTGCAGCGGGGTGTGCACAAACTCTCCGGATCTGTGCCCACTTTCAGCCTCCATGCCGTTCTGCGTGGCAGGACCACAGAGACGCCCTGAGGACCAGCCACCTTCACTGGGACTCACTCATCGCGACCGCGGTAACTGCTAGTTGGCAACACGACAGTCTACAGGACAGCAACAAGAGGACGCACCCACCATGGTGCTCCCGGAGCCCAGGGTCAGGTCTCACTCGACTTTCCGAGTCTGAAAACCCAGCTCGCGGGCCCTGGGCGCGCGGCAGCCTTACCCGCAGGAGCACAGTTCGCAGACGCATTTCCCCTTCGTGGGGGCCATCCTGAGGCCTGGGAGTCCACGCCGAGCATCCGCCGCCGCCGCCGCCAAGACCCCGACTGCCTCGCAGGGAGCGCGCCAAGTTTCGAGGGCCTTGGCAAATACTCTGAATACTGACCCCAAAGACAACGTAAGCGGCCCTTTTGCCAAGTCCGGTCTTGCGTTTCCTTCCCTGAGCGAGCCTCGCACGAGAGCAGCACCGGGCGTGGACCGTGGACCGCGCGGCCGGGCGACCTCCCCCTGCACGCGCAGCCCGGGCCTCCGCCCGCCCCACCCACGCGCAAGCCGAGCATCCCGGCCGCGGGGCCTCTGTGACATCAGCCGGCTCGGGAGGGACACCGGCGGGTGGCAGTGATGACACAAGCACCCGCACCTGTGAGGTCAGGAAGCTTCCCGCGGCTTACCTGGGGGCCCAGGACCAAGGTCCCCCACTGAGCCTTCTTGAAATCGCAGGAAAAGCGAAGGATGAGGACTTTGAGAAGTTCCTGGGTGTGCAAGTCCTCAAGCAGCCTGCTCACTTGGACCAAAAAAAAGGCTGAAAAGCCCACTGTCATCACACTAGGTGGCATTTTTTATCTCTAGAACCTATGGTGCCCCTGGGTATAGAAAGGCACCCACTGATTTCCAGGAGGCTGGACTAAAATACCATTTCCAGATCTTTCTTGTGGAAATCATGCCTGCAGCTCCCCCGCATAGACCTTGCTCTCTGAGAACAAAGCAGTTACAGGACGCCTGGGGCTTAAACTGCTCAGTGGGTGCTCAGTCACTCCCCCAGGTGCTAGTAATGATGCTGGGCCATGGTCCTCAAGTTTGAGCCTGCATCAGAATCACCTGGCTTGATGAAAGCCAGATTGCCCAACCCGCCCACAAGTTTCTGATTCAGTAGGTCTCAGTTCAGTTCAGTCGCTCAGTCGTGTCTGACTCTTTGCAACCTCATGGACTGCAGCATGCCAGGCCTCCCTGTTCATCACCAACTCTTGGAGTTTACTCAAACTCATGTCCGTTGAGTCAGTGATGCCATCTAACTATCTCATCCTCTGTCATCCCCTTCTCCTCCAACCTTTAATCTTTCCCAGCATCAGGGTCTTTTCTAATGAGTCAGTTCTTCACATTAGGTGCCCAAAGTATTGGAGCTTCAGCTTTAGCATCACACTCCAATGCATATACAGGACTGATCTCCTTTAGGATGGACTGGTTGGATCTCCTTGCAGTCCAAGGGACTCTCAAGAATCTTCTCAACACCATAGTTCAAAAGCATCAGTTCTTTGGCGCTCAGATTTCTTTATAGTCCAACTCTCATATCCATACATGACTACTGGAAAAACCATAGCATTGACTAGATGGACCTTTGTTGGCAAAGTAATGTGTCTGCTTTTTAATATGCTGTCTAGGTTGGTCATATCTTTTCTTCAGGAGCAAGCGTCTTTTACTTTCATGGCTGCTAGCACCATTTGCAGTGATTTTGGAGCCCCCAAAAATTAAGTCTGTCACTTTCCCCATCTATTTTCCATGAAGTGATGGGACCAGATGCCATGATCTTAGTTTTCTGAATGTTGAGTTTTAAGCCAACTTTTTCACTCTCTCACTTTCACCAAGAGGCCATTTAGTTCTTTGCTTTCTGCCATAAGGGTGGTGTCATCTGAGTAGCTGAGGTCATTGATATTTCTCCCAGCAGTAGGTCTGGGGTGAGCCTAACAAGATCTGAGCCACACAGATGCTACTAGGCCAGGGACCACACTTTGAGAAGCACAGTTTAGGAGATTATTTTGCCCCCTCTATAACTAGTCAGCCCTGGTGTGGTGTTTCTTCAGCTATCCTCACCCTGAGAACCACTACAGATTCTGCCTAGCAGCCACTGGTATCAAACTTTATAATCTGGGACCCTAGTTTCAACAAGAAGCCTGGTGATTTGGATCAGAAGCAAGCTGCAGAGGCACTGCTCTAGCAGCTGGTGTGGAAAGAAACATGCTTTTGCAGTTAGGAGACATGACAGCTTGAAGTATTGACAATCCCATGCTTTTCTTCCCCACACTTCCTAACTCTTGCATTAGTTGTTTGGGTTTTTTGTTTATTTGTTTGTTTGGCTGCACTGGGTCTTGGTTGGGAGCACTAGGAATCTTTGATGCCGTTGTAGCGTAAGAACCCTTAGTTGTGGCATGTTGGATCTAGTCCCTGACGAGGGATGGAACTCAGGCCCCCTACATTAGGAGCACAGTCTTAGCCATTGGACCACCATGGAGGTCCCACCACCACCACCATTAGTTTTTATGAAAGACTGCTTCAGTAAGTCAGAGGCATTTTAGACTGCAGAAGACTTCAGGGTTTTTTTGGATTTTTTTCTTTCATGTAAGGCTCTAGAATGTGTGTGCTAAGTCGCTTCAGTCATGTCCAACGTTTTGCAACCCTGTGGACTATAGCCCACCAGGCTCCTCTGTCCATGGGATTCTTCAGGCAAGAATACTGGAGTGGGTTGCTTTGCCCTCCTCCAGGGGATTTTCCCAACCCAGGGATCAAACCCATGTCTCTTATGTCTCTTGCATTGGCAGGCAGGTTCTTTACCACTAGCGCTACCTGGAAAGCCCCAAAACTCCAGAATAGAGGTCAGCAAACTATTTCCAACAGGCCAAATTCAGCCCGACACCTGTCTTTGTATGAACAGCAAATCAAGAAATTTTTTTACATTTTTTATAATAGTTATGTATTTATTTATTCACTGGGTGTTAGTTGCAGCACATGGGATCTTCTATCTTCATTTCAGCATGTAGGATCTTCAATTGCAGCATGTGCAATTTTTTAGTTGCAGCCTATGAACACTTAGTTGCAGCATATGGGATCTAATACCCTGACCAGGGGTCGAACCTGGGCCCCCTGCATTGGGAGTGCAGAGTCTTAGCCACTGGACCACCATGGAAGTCACCCTCATTAGTTTTTGTGAAAGAGTGCATTAGTAAGTCAGAGGCATTTTAGACTGCAGAAGACTTCAGAGTTTTTGTGGACTTTTTTCTTTCATGTAAAGCTCTAGAATAGAGGTCAGCAAACTATTGCCAACAGGCCAAATTCAGGCAGCCACATGTCTTTGTATGGCCAGCAAACAACGAATGTTTATATATATATATATATATATATATTTTAAACAGTTACATATTTTCTTACTCATTTTGCTGTGTTGGGTCTTAGTTGCAGCATAGGAACTCTTACTTGTGGCATGTGGGATCTAATTCCCTGGCCAGGGGTCAAAGCTGGGTCCCCTGCATTGGGCGCACAGAGTCTTAGCCACTGGATCACCAGGGAAGTCCCTCCATTTTTTAATGGTTGAGAAAAATTGAAAGAATATTACATGACCCATGAAACTAACATGACCCACTAAACTGTAAAATTGAGTTTCAGCATCTATAAGTTTTTAATTTTGTCCAAAAATTTGTGGAAATATTCCTGATTTTTGCCTCTTGGCCCATGAAGGCTAAAATATTTACTGTAAGACTTTTTACAGAGAAAATTTGCTGACCCCAGCTCTAAAAAGTCAAAGCGGGAGATCCAGAGGGGAGCAAAGCTTACCCATCATTTTTTTTTTTTTTTAGCTGATTTACTTTGTATTTGTCTCCAAATCACATGCTCCTTAATAGTGTTTCAGTTTTAGGTATTTTCTTTTGAATTTCCATCATGGAAGGGCTTTCTTTCACCTCCCTCTCCCCTGCACACACTTCCATCTCTCCATCCTCCCAATATTCTTTCAATTCCGTTGCATCAGTATTCATTGTTTGGTATTATGACTGCAAATGCTACTCACAGCTTCATCACATTGTGTATTGTGATGCCTTTCTGTATAAATGTATTTTCGTGCATTTCAAACTTGTCTTTTCTACAAGGGGCTGTGGCGACATTGATTTTGTATATTTTATTGCTAACCTGTAACCAAACCCTTCTCCCAGCTGTGTAACCTTCTCTCCATATTCAAGCACATTGCTGCCGCTGCTGCTGCTGCTAAGTCGCTTCAGTCGTGTCCAGCTCTGTGCGATCCCATAGATGGCAGCCCACCAGACTCCGCCGTCCCTGAGATTCTCCAGGCAAGAACTCTGGAGTGGGTTGCCATTAAAGCTTACCCATCACTCTTAAACCGGGAAGTGGAAGCTGCTCCTTGCCTTCTCAGTAGGAGGTCAGGGCCTGAAAGCGGAGGGTGGAAACCCGAGGGGACAAGATGGAAGTGTGGGAGATATTGGAAGCCAGGGAAAGCCTGCATGCCATCCCGTGTCATTAACAGAGAACATCAGGTGGGCCTTACAGAGGAACTACCGTAATGAACACCAGCCTTCCCTTGGTGCTTAAAGATTATCTACGAATCTTCCAGAAGAAGAATGGCATACTCATGCCCCCAACCCCCATTCAGGCCACCCTTACAGGTAGCAACTCTGTCAACAACCCATGGCCCTCCCAGCTTCCCCCATCCCTACTCTCAACAGAGGGTGGAGATCTTAAAAGATGAAGATGGTAAGGATAAAAATGGCCTCAGCACCAGTACTTCTGGAGAGCTGGTGCTGTTACAAGACCACCTTTCCTCCCCTTCCTTGTGACACTTACTGCTCGTGTTTCATCAGTTCCAGCCAACGCAACCCTAACTTGTATAAACACCTCTCTAACCATGTTCCCAAATGTCCCTTCCTATGAAGAATTTACAGTCACTTGCTATGCATTATCACCTTTGTGTTCTTTCCCATAAGTTCTCTTGTCTGTCTTTAAAACTGACATAAATCTATCATACCCATGTTACAATTAAGGAAACTGAAGCTTGGCGGTAAACTCACCCAAGATAACATAGCTAGTGAGTACTAGGGTTGAGATTCAAGCCCTTGAATCCTTCCTTTCATACTTTTACACCCAGGAAAAAGAATGAATAGGTAACCTGGAGACCTAAGGACCACTGCAAATGGTATTTTATTTTAAAATTTTGTGTTTAGTTCTTAATATTGAAGCAGAGAGGAATCTATGGTCCTTGCCCACCGCCGCCC